CTTCTCATTGGCCAGTTTGAATCAAGGGAGGGATGCTATTCCAGCCCCTATAGAACTACAGGATTTCACAGAACTTGGAAATTTCCAAGTTACAAGTTCCAAGAGCTGAGTCACCAGGGAGGGGACCTTGCAGGTGTAACCTTGTGGTCTCCTTGAGAAGACCTGTTCTCCTAGACTTCACCCTTCTTGGGTATCCTTTCTCAGACATGGAATCTCCAGCACATAGATCTTGGACTTCCGGGCCTCCAGGACCATGAGAAATTAATTTCTGTTGTTTATGTCACCCAATCTATGGAATCCTATAGCAGCCCAAGAAGACTAAAACATCTAACGTTCTTCTTGGCCCTCAGCTCACCTTTGACATGACCAAAACATCATATTACACACCAGGTTTTTTGTCCAGTTCTTTATTTTATTTTATTTTATTTTTTGAGACAGAGCCTCAAGCTGTCCCCCTTGGGTAGAGTACTATGGCATCACAGCTCACAGCAACCTCCAACTGCTGGGCTCAAGCAAGTCTCCTGCCTCAGCCTCCCAAGTAGCTGGGATCATAGGCACCTGCCACAATGCCCAGCTATTTTTTGGTTGCAGCCATCATTGTTATATGGTGGGCCGGGCTGGATTTGAACCTGCCACCTTAGATGTATGTGGCTGGCACCTTAGCCACTTGAGCCTCAGGCGCTGAGCTGGGAACTAGCCTTCTAATGACCTCGTTGTGTCTTCTTTTTGTTGGAAAGCATTTGAATATTTGGTTGTGCCATGGAGGTCCCCAGTTTCAGTTGATCCTCTAGAAAGGTATCAGTCATTTGTGGCTGTAAGGGCATTCCAGTTTGGGTTAGGTTAGAGAAAGTAGATTCATAGCAATAAGTGGTTGAAAAGCAAGAAAGCATTTTTCAGGCTTATTGCCAAAGGCATAAGTATTCTACCGCACTTTCCCATTTCAGTTGGACTTTCTTAGCACTAAACAATAACTTTAAAATGTCATCTACTGAGAGGTCAATCAATTCTATTTATAGTTCTGGAGGTGCCTTGGTGATGTCAACTAGGTGAGACTGAAATGCTACTTTGAGCATGGCTTCAAGTCTCAAAGTCAATGACCCTCTCATTGTGTACCCCAATTACTAGGTCTGTCCCACCTGCATATTCTTCAAATAATTCATGTCTGTCATCCTGCTCATGAATAACCTTTGCTAACGGGGGAAAATATTCATCCAAAATTTCTTTTTAAAGAAGTGTTTTGAAAAAAAGATAGCTTTTTTGGAAATGCTTAGGTTTTTTGCCATGGATCATATGTAAACTGAGTTTTTACCTTGCAAAGAAATATTCAAGTCATTTCAAATTGATATTATATCACCCGAACATGCTGCATTCCTGTAGAAATCTTCTTTTAATAATTCTCTCACTTCACTGATTCTGTTCTTTATAAAATTTGACTCTATGTCCACGCAGAGATGAAATTTGGGTTAACACCTATCCCTGTGATAGCAAATGCACTTAAGAATAATACAGCAAATCCACACTGATTGTTCAATTTGCATGTTACAAAGCTATCGGGTGCTGTGTTTGCAGGAATATGGTTAACAGTACTTATCACTTGTTGCCAAGTGCCACTTAAAACAGTAGCTTTAGCATAGAGATTTGTTGATGCAAGACACAATGAAAATAAATGAGAGCATCTAGATTTCCCAGAGGCGTTAATGATCACCTTCCAACATTCAGAGGACCTAGTACTCTTTTCATTGGGTGTTTTCTCCCACCAGACTCCAAGCTTCACAAGGGCAAGTATCTTAATGCACTATAATGAAAAAAAATATGTATTTGGTATTTGCCCCCAGTTCTTGGCACAGAGCTCCTAAAACCCTTGGAATTTCCTTAGTGATAGAAGTGTCTTTTGTTATTTGCTAACAAACCTCTTTTTGCCTAAACCTGCATTAATGCTAATGAGGTGACTGCAATTGGGCCCCCAAACAGCTTCAGGAACTTCCAGCCCCAGCCCCAACCCCAACCTCTGGGAGGGGAGTAAGGCTAGAGATTGAGTTCAACCATCAGTGGCCAGTGATTTAACTAAACATGCTTATGTAATGAAACCCCATATAAAAGCCTTAAACAATAGGACTTGGGAAGCTTCCAGGTCTTTTTTTTTTTTTTTTTTTTAACACTTCCATGTGCTGGGAGTGCACCCTGATTCCACAGGGACAAAGGCCCCTGCACTCTGAGCCCTCCTGGTCCTGGTCCTCACCTGGTCCTCACCAGCCCTCCTGGTCCTGGTCCTCACCTACCTCCTCATCGGGCTGTTTATTTAAATCCTTTATAATAAGTACCTGTGTTCAGTCAGTTGCTCTAGCCAATTATTAAACTTAGGGGGAGGAGGTTGTGGGAACACTAGCTATTGTAGTCTGTCAAGCAGAAATTCAGGTAGGCTTGGGACCCCCTTTATAGCTGGCATCTGAAGTTGGGAAGAGCAGTTTTGTGGGACTGAACACTTAACATGGGTGGTCGGCATAAACTCCAGGTAGATAGTGGCAGAACTGAATGGAATTGCAGGACACCCAGTTGAAGTCAGAGAATCAAACGAGTTGTTATTGGAAAAACAACCTGCTTATTGTTCTAGAAAAGTGCCTGCACATAGTAGGCATTCAAGTAATATTTGCTGAATGAATGGACAGATGTCACCTTCCCTACACAGACTGCCATTAAAGTCCTCTTGATTGAGCCATCATCTTCCTGGACACCCCCAATTTCTTCCTAATGGTTTTGTATCAACTCAGTAAATAAATGTTTTTGATGCCCCAAACGATGTGCTCCAAGCTGGCCAAGAACACAGTCATCTACGTATTCAGCCAAGGAGCGCCCCCATCCCCTGTGCCATTCCCACATTCCCACCCCACGAGGGGCAACCACAGCCCCCTAAATCCATCTCTACTCTGGCTTCTAGCTTCTACATCTAACTCTGGGGGGGAATTTTAAAGAAATTCCGCTTACCACAGGACACTCACAAGAACAAATTCTAGGAAGATGAGAGAGTTTAGCTGAAATGTAAAACTCCTATATTTCTAGAGTAGAATTTCACTACAATCTTGGGGACGAAGAGGCCTTTCTATGCAGGACACAAAACATGGAGCTCATAAATGAAAAATTAGGTAGATTTGAAAAATTGGGTAGGTAGAATTATGAAATTTTTTAATAACAAAAAATACCACCACAATATCAAAGATAAACTGATATGAATATCTTCAGTATAAATACATAAAAGTTCATACATACGAGCTTCTAAAAAGCCTTTTGATGGTAAAGAACAGGAGAGACGAGACCTCTGTGTGTGAGGGGGCCAGAGGCAGAGAAAGGGAAGGAACCCTGGGAGGAAGAGGGGCAGCTCCCCATTGCCTCCCCCAGGCTGGTTCTGAGGCTGCCTGTGAGGGGCACTGGCAGCAGAGGCTGATGGGGACCACTCAGTAGAGACCTCATGAGATCCAGGATCTGAGCAAAGACAGACCCAGACAACAAAGGGCACTGGGAACAATGAGCGGCTGGCACTCTCCTCCCTCTGTCTCTGCTAAAAGCCAGAGAAGAGATGGATTTCGGGGCTATGGATACCCTGCATGGGGGTGGGGATGTGGCAATGGTACAGGGGCTGGGGGAGCTCCTTGGCTGGAAATGTAGATGACTGTGTTCTTGGCCAGCTTGGAGACCTATGTGCTTCCTTAGACTGGAATCCACCATCCAACTCTGCCAACCACAGCCTGGAGACTTAGGAGACACCTGGAGACAATTCCAAGGCAAGGACTTTGGTGTTTGGCTGCCATGAACTTCTCCAAGCTTCTGTGAGCAGCAGACTCACACAGTGGGAGCAGATATGGAGAAGAGAAGAGAAGTTGCCACATGGAGCTACGACCAACAAACAGGCTATGGACACCCAGAAGGCATGTTTGGGGGGACTTCCAGAAAGACTTAGAGGGTCTGTGGAGGTTTGTTTTTACTTGGGTGAAGCATACTGCAATAGGAAATGTCTGGACATGCACAGATGTGCATTTCTTTTAAAGTCTGGAATGATAATGGTTTCCAGAGGAAAGGGAATGAGATTGTGAGAAAGGCAGGACATTCTACTATCTGTTGTATACTCTTCTGGAATGTTTCTCTTTTATATAAAGAACTGTTAGGTGTGGGGACAAGATGTCAGGTCCCCGTGTTCTTGGTTCCCAGTTCCAGAGAATGGTTACTGGGTCCAAGTCCACACAGTAAAATGAGCAGAGCAAGCCAGTGCAAGCAGGCAGGGTGCTGAAGTTTATTAAAGCACAGTACATTCCAGAGAAGGAATGGGCCAGCCCCTGTGAGTGGAGGAGACGCCTAGTTTAACAAGCTTTCTCCTTTTATGTGATTCCCTAATGTTATGATAAGTCGGGGGTGGACTATTCATGGATTTTCTTGGAAAAGGTAGAGAATTCCTAGAATAAGTAATCCTCCCCATTTCTTCCTTTCTTTCTTTCTTTTTAAGTATTGGGGGGGGCAGGGCTGGGTTTGAACCCACTACCTCCAGTATATGGGGCCAGCGCCCTACCCTTTTGAGCCATAGGTACCACCCCTCCTCCCCATTTCTTTGTAAGGTAATTTCTGAGGGTTGCCATGGTATTTGTAAACTGCCATGGCTCTGGTGAGTGCGATTTTTACCATTTTAAAGAGGGTAGATCATACAGGGACGCTGTTACCCAACTGTGCACATGCTCCAAATACCCTTTATTGAGGCCGTGATAATATCTCCACTTTGTGGTTTCCCAACCAGTTCTTGGGAACCCTCTATTTTAGATCAAATATCTGGTCCTTGGGGACCTTCTTGACATGTCCTCTGTTCTTCCTTGGGAGCCCCCTGTGGTCAATCTGTTCCTCCTAGTAGACAAAGCAGATCTCCTAGCATCCTCTGCCTCTCAGTGGACACCGCAGACAAAGTACCTGTTCCCCTCCCTCCTTATCCCTACCTAACAGAACATGTACTACTTACATAAGAACTTACAAGAAGATAGTCTCATTTAAAAACAAACAGTACATAGGGACCTGCACCGACTTCCAGGATTGAGCCCTTCTCTGTAGTGTGGGTGGTGGCACGTGAGTCTGTGATGATGTCCCCAGTGCCTGTCAAGACCTGTGGCAGGAGGCAAAGCAGCAGGATGTAGGGGAGCCTCCCTAACTCCAGTGCTTGGAGCCACATCATGTTCATGGGCAACAGCTATCTCGGTGGGCCGGTGTGGCACGCCAGGGTTAGCCGTCCTCTCTGGCATAAAGGCCCTGAACCCGCTCTGCCGACAGAGCTCTTAGAAAAACACCTTCTTTTGTGGGCAGGCACCATGGAATTCAAAGAATTTCTCTCTCTCACGTGCTTAGGTTGCAGGTGAGAGAGGGAACAAAGGTCTCATGCCCCAGTGCTCCCATGACAATGTCCAATGACAATGCCTTCTATTGAGACCTAGTCCTGGTCTGGCTTCCTCTCTAGCCTTATTTCCTGTGCCAGGCACAAAGCTAGGTGTGGTCCCCAAACTGTCAGCTCTCTAACTTGGAACCCCCTCACCATGTGTTGGAACTTTGGCTCATTCTTTCCGTCCCAGCTGTATTATTACCCACTGCAAAGAGTCCTCCCTGAGCCCCCCAGGTTAGGTACCATCACCCTGGGGTGCTTCCAGAACACCCTGGGGTCATCTATAGAAAGATTATAACCTTGAAGAATGGCTGCCTGATTACACATCCAACCCCCCACCAGACTTCAGCACTTTGCTGGAAAGGGCTACAATATTTGCCACGGTTGTCTCCAGTTCTGGGCAAAGGGCTCTATAAGCATTTGCTGACTGAGTAACCAGCCGGGCCTGGCCCAGCCCTCCAGGTGCCCACAGGCCAAGCACAGACTATTACTGGCTGTGCTCTCACTTGCCAGACTGGAAGCTCCACATAGTTCCTAAGGGCAAGATGGTAGTAAAACCAACAGCTGCACTTACCAAAATGTCTCTTCCTGGGAGAGAAACTGCAACACAAAAGAGAATTAATTGTCAACAGCGGTCACTGAGACTGCAGATCCCACTCAAAATTCTGAATGTGCCTATTTACCAGGAACAAGTAGGAATTACAAGGCCTGGCAGGGCAGGGGAAAGGGCACCAGAGAATGGGAGTCAAATCACCGTGACTTTGGGCAAATGCCGTCGGCTCTGGTGCCTGAATCTCCCCAGAACCTCTGAAGTGAAGGGCTGGGTTTGGGGCTGGCTGAGGTCCTGGGTCAGGAAGTAGGGTAGAAGCTGGCCACTCTGAAAGCACACACAGGCCAGGCTACACCCAACCTTGACCTTAGCCCTGGAGACAGCCCAACTCGAATCATCCTGCCTAAAACAAATTCTCCTGTGTTGAACATTCACATTCTGAGTCACAGGGCAAACATCTCATGAAGACCCTTATGGCTGGCACTGTGCCCTGGTGACCTATTCCTGACCACAGTGGCAGACACGATCAAAGCTAGAGTGGGGCTCCGTACCCGTACACAGTGGTTATGGCACCAGCCACATACACCAGAGCTGGCGGTTCAAACCCAGCCTGGGCCTGCTAAATAACAATGACAACTGCAACAAAAAAGAAAATAGCTGGGTGTTGGGGTGGGCGTCTGTAGTCCCAACTACTTAAGAGGCTGAGGCAAGAGAATCACTTAAGCCCAAGAGTTTGAGGTTGCTGTGAGCTGTGACACCACAGCACTCCACTGAGGGCAACAAAGTGAGACTCTGTCTCAAAAAAGAAAGGAAGATAGAAAGAAAGAAAGAAAGAAAGAAAGAAAGAAAGAAAGAAAGAAAGAAAGAAAGCAAGCTAGCTAGCTAGAGTGGGCAGGTTCTTTCCTTTGGCGGGAAGGATGTATGCTTCCCCACACCTTGTTTCCCACAGTACAGATCTTGCTTCGACTTTATTCTGCCAAGGCCAGGCAATGACAGCCCCATGGTGCTGGACTGTGTCACCAGCCTTGGCCTCCCTCTCAGAAACTTCTATTCTGCAGGCAAATCCGTGTTTCCTTCCAGCTGAGAGGCTGTGGGTATATTATAAGGACAAAGTGAGCACATCTATTCCAAGAGTTTGTTAATATTTTTCCTCTATTCTATTAAATACACAGACTTTGTTGTCAGGCCTAGGTTCAAGTTCCAATTCTGCCACGTTCTAATTATTTGACATTGAGCCAGTTATCAAGCTCTCTGCAGCTGAGTTTTGAATCTGCCTCCCTTGAAGCGTTGTTATGAGACCAAACCAAAATAACACCTGTCAAACAGGCAGCCCAGCACTTGCCTAGCAACTGTGAACAGCCTGGAAATGTCTGGCCCAAAGAGGGAGCATATGGTTTTTTAATTACCTCTCCATGAACCATTGTCATTGGGCTTATATCAAGAGCAAATCCTGATCCCATCGCCCAGAATTCATATCTTTTCATGACAACCCACAACCCCTACTTCTGATTAAACAACTGAGAACTCAGATTTATAAAAATAAAAATCCCTGTGCAAAGACTGGCCTGCTCCTGACCACAGCAGCAGACACAAAGTCCAAGAATCCCCACAGCCCAGATCTGCTGACAGTACGAGCTTAGAGATCAGGCAGCCGGGATTCAAGTTATTTACTTTGGGCCTATGATATCGCTGCCTGGGTGAGATTTTGCTTACTCATAGTGAGAACTTCAGAATAGTTACTTTTTAATCACACATACACATATCCCTGCAGCCTGCATTGGGGAGGAGTAAGTACCAGGAAGCTGGAGCACCTTCAGGACACGTGATAATACCTGGCAGCTGGATGGAGAGACAGGTCCCCAGGTGCCTCTGCCAGCTCTGGGCCAATGAACTCTGTTCTATTTGGTTTGGCTTCAGTTACTTGCATTAAAAAAAAAAAAGGATCAAGATGAAACAGGCAATAGGGTGCATAAAGGCTAATGCCCCAAATGTAAGTTAGAGCCCTCAGCCAAACTTTCCCTGACTTGGTTAATAAATAAGCCAGGGATTAAGCTGCTCTGGTACATTCTATTCTGTAACCCAGAAAGAATCTTCCCCATAACTGAGGGACATAACACTAGATTAGTAATTTCAGCCCCTGTCCACCTTCACTGTGTTTGTGTCTGCTAAATGTGGTGGGTGACAAGGCCACCTCCAACACCAAAGCCACTGCTGAGACACTACCAGGACCCAGAGTCAAAGAGGGGACTCCGGGGCCTGTTGTACAGGATTGTCCCAGGAAGGCCTGATGTGCACCTGACACTGTGCCAACTACTTTATGTATATGTCTTCAGTTAATCCTTATGATAACCCACACAGCAGAAACTGCTCATGGTGTCCTCTGATGGAAACTGATGGCTCAGAGAGAGGCTAAGTCTCATGCCCGGGAAACTGGCAGAAACAGGTCTTAAACCCCACAGTCCAACGACAGAGGGTCTCCTATAATATTGCCTTTACCATTTTTGTGGAAATTACAAACATTATAGCATTTCTAAAAACTGGGAAATGAGCGAGCAATGGTGTTACTTTGGAAGACTCAATGGGAAAGGAAGAGAATTCGGAGGGCCCAGGGGAAGGAGAAAAAGGAAGGGGCCCCGTGTGCAGGGAAGGAGTCTGGCGTGTGCAGGAAGCAGGACAAGACCAAGCACAGATTCCAGTACAGCAGAATGTTCTGATGTCCTTGCGTAAAGCAGCTAACCTGTGAATGTAAGCCCATTTGCAGACACTGCAACTGCTAGCGCCTCTCACAAATGTGTCATCGCCAGCTCTCTGAAAGACATGGCCGCAGGACAGGCCTGGGTTTTCCTCCTGGGCCAGCATCTGCTGACGCTGTTCCATCTAGCTGCAAATCGGGGGCATTGCAAACTCAGGCCGCTCATGATAGCTTCCTCTACACAAGTTCTTTAAACTCAAAATCCTTTTAAAAAAGAAGTTGTAATCGCTCCTCGGCCTTTCGGCTAAGATCAAGTGTAGAAAAGAAGTTGCTCTTTCTCTGTGCTGTGGAAATTCCACCATTCAGATGGCCTTGCAAGTTTAATTTCTTCACGTCTTGGCATTGAGGGAAAAATTTTGTTTTGGGTTTTCATAGGCTTATTCTACAAATCAAATACATAATATTTCTCTTCAAATTAAGGTTATCTGTGACTAGTTCAAGATTCAGAACAAGAGACATTCCGGGTTGTCCTGACATAACCAGAGAGGATGGTCACTGTCTGACCAAGACACCAGCTCCTTAGAGGGGAAGTGTTGAGCCCACCAGGGTCAGCCCCCAGGTCCCACATAGCATAAGTCCCTCCCTCTTCCCAGGTCCTCAGCCCTAGGCCTATGCCCCCTGCAATCTTTGCCTCTAACTTCATATCATAGTTCTCTTGACTAAGCCACCATGCAGAAGTTCTTGGAGGTGAGAGTCATACTTTATGTATTCTTCCAAGTATGTATTACGGCCTTCTAAGTGCCAAGCAAATTGTTAGACCTCACACTGGCAGAATGACTGTTCTGGCACTGGAAATACCAGGATACTTAAGAATACAGACTCTGGAGCTAGACTACCTGGATCAGAAGCCCAGCTCTAGCTCGTGCTATCTATGTGACCCTAGGCAAGTCACTCACCTTCCATGTATCCTCGTTTCCCCTCTGTATAATGGTCATGATCACAGTACCTATCTCATGGCAATGAGAAGATTAAATGAATCCATATATGTAAAGTGTGTCTATGGGTACTCTGTAAGTCCTATGCATCAGTTAGTGTACCAGACTGTTTCAATAATGAAACAGACCAGTATAATAAAGTGTTCTCTATAGCAAGGGTGAGTGCAAGATGTTTGGGGAAAACACAGAGGAGTACCTAACTCAACTTGGGAAGGCTTCCCAAGGAACTCGCACCCTAAACAGGGACTTTAAAAATCAGTCAACCACAGGAAGGGACTTTTTGCTGCCGCCCACCACCGTTAAGTATTGCATGTGTGCTCCCAGCAAGGGCCTGTCCCAGTGAGTTCTGCCCTATCTCCACGGTGTCCTCCCTTGGCTGAAGTTGATGCCTGATGACATGAAGGAGCAGATTTACAGACTGGCCCAGAAGGGCTCGAGTCCTTCACAAATCACAGTGATCCTGAGGGACTCATGTGCATTGCACAAGTACATTTTGCGGCAGGGAATAAAATCTTCAGAATCCCTAAGTCCAGAGGACTTGCTCCTGATCTTCTGGAGGATCGCTACCCTTTAATTTAGAAAAGAGTTGCTGTTTGAAAGCATCTTGAAAGGAGCAGGCAGGATAGGGATGCTAAATCCCATCAGATTCTGATAGAAAGCTGAATTCACAGACTGGCTCAATATTATAAGATCAAGTAAGTTCTCTCTCCCCGTTGAAAGTATGAATCTTCCACAGCCTCTGCTCTGGAAGCATAAATTTGTCTATGTACTTAAGCAATAAAAACCATTGTCTAACTAAAACATAAATAAATGAAATACAACAAAAACAAAACACTACCATAGGAAAGGGATCTGAAGACAAGGAGAAGAATGTTCCAGATTGAGGAGGCAAGGGTTCATGCTTTCTTTGTTAAAAAATGATACAAATCGTAAATCAGTTACTAATAAGAGTTATTATGGAATTCACACTGTACCTTCTATCCATCGAACTGTTAATGTATGAACTGCAAAGAATTCAGAGTCAGGTTATGAAAAGCAAGCCTGAACAAAATTTATCTTCGAAAGTCATACAAGGAAGGTCAAATGGCTCACAGGTTCTCTTTTTATTTTCCAGAGGAAACGAACATTTATGAACCTTTACATTTGACATTGATTTCATTGTTTCTGAGATGATCTCTGATCCATAGGCTCCAAAGGAGAAGACTTGGCATAATCTTTTTTATTCCTAACTGCAGCACATCCCTTGTGGCAGGTACCCAATGAATGCTTTTTTTTCTTTTATACTCAAATGCACTGAATTTTTGTTTGCATCTTAATTTTCTTTTGTAACCAATGATCGTTAAACAGGGAATGTTCAAATGACTGCCGCCAATGCCCAGCACTTGCCTTACCACGCAACTCACACGAGGCAAGTTTAGATCTGCCTCCGATCTCTTGGAATAGCACCTAATCTCCGAGATGAAGTCCTTCCAGGGCTCTGCAGATCTCAGCATGAAATGAATGAGAGCAAAGGTTAAAAAGACAATAAATACACAAGCCAGGATTGTACACATCCGGTCAGCCCGAAGAACCA